TTTTCAATGAATAAATAACAAAAATGAGAAAAAGGAGAAGTAACAATATTTCCGCGCGTAAAAAAACATTTGTTTGAAAACAACAATCGCGCCGACGATTTATATTGAGAAAGCAATAATGAGAGATCGTAACGTCGTTGAAAAAAATTTTTCCGAGAAATTCGAATTAACGAGAGAGAGGGGAAGAGAGAGAGAGAGAGGCAATCTCTGGCGCGTATAACACGAGAGAAAATAGCATGTGTCGAGTGACAGTGAGTTTCCCACGTGTTATATGTATACATTGTCGTCGCGTAATTCTTTTCCAAGGATAACGCGTGCTTTCCTTGGCGACGGCGAGCGAACGAGCGAGCGAGAAGTGACGGAAAAAGGGGATTCCCCTGTATCTGATGCAATTAACTCGCTATTAGCGGAGCAGACGTTGAGCAGGAGGCCCGGCCGTTATACGAAAAGTATAGCCCCGCTGTACGTGATTAAAGCGGAAATTCGTTACGGGCACACACACACACACACACACACACACACACACACCGGGGGTTCCGTCGATAAGATTAATTGATAAATGGCTGAATCGATCGGCGCCGTTGTGAAACTTTCGTTACGTGCCTCGGCGTCGGGACCGCAAGATAAATATCTCGTCGCGATGCGGTAACCGTAATCGGGTTAATTCGAGTATACGTAATGCGCCGCGCCGCGCGTGGTGATACGTGGAAGATTATCGTTAGCGCGCCGATATCAGTCATTAGCCACGCGCGTCAAACACGCGCGTTTCTCCCGACGATAACCTTGCGAGATCTCGCGTCAAATAGAGTTTAAAGGAATCGCGACTTTTTTTTTTCTCGAGCTCTTCTGATACCCTTCCCCCCTTCTCTCGCAACTTTTTGTCCCGTGGAGATATCACGGTGTCGAAAATACATTTTTGCGTGAATTCTTTTTTTCATATCTGTTATATTTTTGCTTCTCTCATTTGTGTATGTGTGTGTGTGTGGTTTTTTTTTAATTACATGTTTAAACGTTCTCAATATCGCGTTGACTTGCTATTTCGACGAGCATAATCGGACACTTACGCGGTAATTTTGCGCGCGAGGAATAACATAAAATATTCTGATCGACATAATTTTTTGTCGCGAAACGCGCGGATGCTTGTTATTTAGTGTAACAAGCATCGCTCCTGAGAGATTTACGCGCTTGCTCGGTAAGAAACACTTTTTTTTTTTTTTTTTTTTACCAGAGATACATCATCGCGTGACGAGAGATTGTCGTCAGTTTCGTTCGTCGGAGAAGCGTCGAGTTGGTTCCGAGAAACGGCCGGTAAAATGTGCGTTAACGCGCGCGGGAACAAATAAATAAAACTTTGTTTACGAATGGGAGAAGAAAAAAAAAACGCTTGCGCATCGAGCGACGAGAAGTCGCCGCGAATGAGACATCTCCTTCTCTAACGATAGTGGTGGGACAAGAAAAGCGAGGGCAAGGCAAATGTGTACAGTTCGTGCGCGAGGTACACATCATCGTGTGATTCTCTCTCGAAACGTGTAAAACGCGCGTTGCTCGCCGCGCGACTTGCCGTTCGGAGATGAACGAGATGATGAGAACGCGTTTGCGAGACGATTCAGGTTGATCGTAACGCAATTACCGCGTTCGGAAGTTGCGCGCGGTTGTTTCTAAAAGGCCACACCCCGAATGATGTAACTTCGTACTCGGTTACTTCTCGACTTGATAAATAAAAGGTGAAAAAGGAGACATTAAAGTAGAAAGTATCTGCGTGTTCGACCGTGTGTCACGTTAACGTTGCGACCGCCGCAGCGGTCGTTTTAAATTCGCGTTAGCGATTTCTCGCTGACAGATAAATTGCGTCGATCGTTCGAGAAATTGAAGGAGTTTGTTAGACGAAAGCGCGTCATCCTATCACCGCGCCGAACGTTGCGACGCGAGATGCAAAGAGGGAAGATAGGGACATTCATACGGCACTGTCACACTCGGCAAATGCAGAAAACGTGAGCGACGGAGAAGTCAGCGGACCATGCCGCTGGTTCTTGTAGGAGGAGGTTAAAGTCCGCTTTACAGCGAATTTCGTGTGCGCTGCCTTCGTCGTCGATTGTCGTCAATCGATCCTTTCGCGTTCGCGACGGAAAAAAAAATCGCCGGAATTTTTCAACAGCAATTTTTTTTTCAGGAAAAAGAAAGACTGCACACGACTGCAGTCGTTTTGCGTGTGATATGTAAATTTCAATTATTTAATACAACAAATTATTTCACCTTCCTTCGATTTACGGAGAGAGAGAGAGAAAGAGAGTGAAACAGAAATAGATAGAAAGAAAAAAGAAAGAGAGAGAAAATATTTTCGCGCGTTTCGTGAGTTTGTTAATTATATTCAACGTTACGCATAAATTTTGGAGAAAATATTATGTCGAAATACTTTATTATCTTACATTTAATTATACAAAATCAATTTGTTTGTTATTTAATTATTTCATTATGCTAAATATTACAATCTATTACGCACGTAAATTCTATGTTGTTTCTCTAGACTCATGGTGTGTGACATAAATAATGGATAAAATCGCAAAAAGATAAAATATGTAAAACGATATTCACGTGCACTCTTCGACGAAAATTATTTTAACAAAAGAATGGGGCGGGAAAATATAAATAATATATTACAAAATATTATAAATATAAATATATATACTATACATATGTGTATTTCTATTTGCGAGCGCGAAAAGAAATGTGTGATACACGAGGTCGACTGTTTTCCAAGTCAAATTTGCACGAAGAGGAAACAAAAAGTGCAACAATACGTGCACAAACAACGTATAGCACAAACGTGAATCAGAGAAGCAACATTAGAACACGTACGTGTATTTAAATCGCGTTAAACGATTCCTCTCTATCGCGCCCGCGCGTTAGTTTAATGAATGCGCCTTGCGCGCATAATTCGCATTGATGTCGCGGCCTCAATAAATGCATCGGGGAGAGCGGACCAGCCTCTCTCTCTCTCTCTCTGATCATGATGATCTATTAATATCGCGGATATCGCACATTAGACACAGAGACGTAAACAACACGTAGAGAGAACGCGCTGATAATTTGATAATGTAGATTCGCGAATCGGCACGCGTCGCTTCGCGCAACCTTCGCGAGGCGCTCAATTGGTTCGGAGGAGAGAGATTTTCGTCACGCAACGCTCTAACTACCTCGTGGCCGTGCGCGCGGGAAGAACGGACTCTTTTTTATTTTTATTTTTTTTTCCTACACCTCGGCCGCACGTATATCTACGCGTTGCGTTAAATACAAGCTGATTTATTCCGTCCGTTTTTTATTTATGCTCTTCTTTACTCGATGCTAAGTTATGAAAAAAACGTCAATTCGTAAGCACGCGCAAGACAATTTATTTCTTCACGTTCTGTGCGCGACCGTATATATATTTCAACGAAGAAAAATGTGCGACGTCGAGAAAAACTTGTCCGCGCAGTAAAGTCCATAACTACGCAAAATAGTTAGTATGGTAGTTGATAAGCGCGCGGGCTTAATTGGGTATCGCTAATCACCTCAAGAGAGAGAGATGCGCGTTACACATGTCGTTACGCGTGCGCGCGTCTTTATATTTGTTAAACTGCACGTTCAATTGTAATTACAAACTGCTGCGTAACTAGAGCTCGCGTTTGTTGTTACGTTTTTGTTTTGTATATATATATATATATATATATACACACATACACACACATATATATCCTCATTCTGATCGGAACATATTTTGCTCGCGACTATTATACTAATGTCACACAGAGCGAATGTCACCTCCTCCCCCCGGAACACGATATCGTTCGATAATCGCGCAATCGCCACATTTTATTGTCAATAATAAACGCGCGGAGAGTAAATGTAAGTGCATTTGCTTTATTTGCTCGTGTTAACTATACCGAGTTTTGCCAATGTAGGTCATATATATGCGCTCCGCATTTATATATACGCGCGCTGACATTTGATATGTACTGATATTCACAGAAAACAAACAAGCGAACGTGTTGAACCGTCAGAATTGATAAATTGTTTTTTTTTTTTTTTTTTTTTTCAACGCTATTATCGAGTTAAAAATTTTGAAGAAAATATAAAACTTAGATAATGATAATATAAAAGATAATATAAAACTTAGATATTATAAAATCGGAGATACAGAGAAAAACATTGATGTGTTCTTCGCAACTACGTGCCGCGCGCGAGAGAAAATAATCACTTTGAGAAACGGCGCGATCGTTGGCGCGAGGAATCTCCTCTCCTAGAGAGAACGCTCTCTCAGCGGGGAAGGAAAGAAAAAGGATCCGCGGATGAGAAATGGGACGTGAATTTTCACCTAGTCATTCTTCGTCAATCAATTTGAATTAAATATATCTCGTCGCGCGAGAGAGACGATGGAATTCGGGAATTCTCATTCGTGGAGAAGAAGATCCACGAAACACGTCGCAAATATAAAAAGTAGCGTTACGTCACACACATTGCATGTCCTCTCTCTTGTAATCGCGCGGTACTTTTCCTTCGAGCCCTGGTTCGAATGATTATTTAGTTTACGATTCTCGACCGAAGATGTGATCGCGAGACGCGCGCGCGCGCGAGTTTTTTTTCGGATAGACTCGATAATTTTATTATCAGGCACGGTGTAAACCAGGCTTTATTGGGCACCGCGGGTATTCGCGCTGCGACGGACAAAGAGAGGAAACAGCTCGGGAAAGAGCGAGGCGGCAAGATCGTCAATGATACGGACGAGGAAGGAGAATGATAGAGCCGCCGAGGGAGAGAGGGAATTGCGCGGGTCGTCAGTGCCAGGCCGCGAGAAGGGGTGGGAGTCACGGGTCGGTGCGGCTCGGGAGGAGAACGAAGAGGAGGAGGAGGAGGGAAACGCGTAAACAGAGAGTCAACATGTAAACAGGCCACTCGCGAGACAAACAACGTGGGGGCCGCGGGCTGTTCGCCGCCGAACGAGGCAAGCAGGCAGGAGGCAAGCAGGCAGGCAGGCAGGCAGGCAGGCAAGCAAGCAAGCAGGCAGGCAGACAGACAGACAGGCAAAAGCAAGGCTCCGATCCGTTGTGCTCCGTCGCTTTGCGCTCCGTTTTCCGTGTGTGTTGCCACGGTCGTTCGTGTGTTTTCGACTTATCAAATCGCGCGCGCCGCGGCGAATCGAATCGGAGTCGCCGGGACGACTAATCGTGCCCGCGCGGTTTCCCTCGAGCGGTCGAGGCGGTTCGAAAACCCGCCGAAATTTCGAGGTGAGAGGAACGCAGTCAATCGGGACAGTTCGGCATAACGTGGTATACGACGTGGGATCCTCTTCGGTCGATTCCGCCGGTGTATTAAACGAGAGAGAGAGAGAGAAAGAGAAGAGAGAGAGAAAAAAAGAGAGAAAAGAAGAATGAGAGTGTGAGACAGAAAAGAAGAGAAGTGCCGCTTTTGTTGATAACGTGTTGCGCACGTGTGTTTTTGGTGTCACGATGAAAATGTCAACGCGTGTTGTTCCCGAGATGTTGAAACGACTTATCAAATTGTAAATTGCGACGATCGTACGCACGAATTGTTTAATCGTTGAACCGAATTAATCAGCTGATGTTATAATTGCACGTGTGTGATAGTGTGCGAATAATTTCGTGTGACGGGAAGAAGAAACGAATTTGTTCTCACGAGAGAGTGCGCGACTTTAATGAACGTCTAAACGCGGACTGTATTTGACAGAAGTGTGAAATTTTTAATTTTGACTCTTCAAGTGTTTTTGTGCAATAAATTTGTTGTGCGAATAATCGAAAGCACATTAACGAAAAATCGCAACAACGTGACGGAGTCCGTTAACGATTAAATGAATAAATTCGCAATTATTTATAGCGGATCGCAGCGACGAATTATTACCGTCGCGATGCAAATCCGTTCGCAAACGTGCGGTAGAAATAGTGATCGCGTGAAGTGACAAAAAGTATCGCATCTTTTGCGAAGAAACAAAAAAGAAGACGCACAGCCTTCACAGAGAAAATTAATTGTACTTTTTGAAGACAGAAATTGGTACGTTTTTTGTTTTTACATAAATTATTATTTCAATGCAATTTATTGGATCGCGGCGCAATTTCATTTGCGTTGTCGAAGCTCGAGAGAAAATCTCAACGACGTTTGTAGACGTTTCGCAAAGAGAAGAAATGTAACGGAGGAGAGACATCGTTTAACAAATTTCAATTTTTATTTCATCAGTTAATTGCCGCGATCGGCTTTTGACTCGTTTAACGAACACCGCGTATTATAGACACACACACACACACACACATGTGTGTGTATCCCGTTACATTTACAGGGTGCGAGATAATTGATAAGTAATCTGAAATAATTCACGTTATCGTCCACAAACTGCCGTCGAAGTGTGTGGCAACGCGATTACATAGTATTGCTTTCGGACGGGCTGGCAAATCGAATTTGCTTCGACACAAGTCGCGATCGTTGGGCGAACTTTGCTCTCAACGACCACGATGCGTATCGCGGATTACACACATTGTAATCAAAACTTTGCGATACAAGCGGCGCCGTGTGTGATGTACGCACAACGTACGCGTTCGCCGGGGATCCGATTGGGGTCTCGTGATACGCCGGGAAATTAGAGGTGATGATATTTCCTCTCTCGCGCGCGCGAGATCGTCTCGACGGCGAGAAAATGGAAATCGTTGTTGAACGCAATCGTTGTTAACCGAACCGAAGAGAGGAATTATACGCGCGCGCGCGCGCGCGCATTGGCAGCCGTTCACGTGAATCATTAGCTTCTCTCTCTCTCTCTCTCTCTCTCGCGCGCACGCCGACCGTACTGTGTGAGTAAGCAATCGTTACCCGTGGCTTTTATTAAGATTTATGAGACACTATATATGTATATATATATATATACACACGCGCAACGTTCTCTAATTGCGCGCTCGCGCAAGAGCACCTTTTAAGAAAACTGCCCGCCGGCGGCGCGTCTCTTTATTATCCGCTTATTATCGCGACTAAACTCGCGCTCGTAAATCGCCGATCCATCGCGCGAACACTTTTCCGGGTATTCCAAATTTAAGATCGGAGACCAATTTAATTGTCAGTTTCTCTTGTGAAATCGCGGGGTCTGCCTCTCCGTCTGCCAATTCGTCGTCGTCCGCGGTCGTCTCGAAACTGGAGCGCGGGAAGAGAGCGATGAACGAGTTGCCGGGACAATTATTTCCAGACAAAAAAGAACACCGGAACAAGCTACTTCTAATTCGAGCAAGAAAAGAAAAATAATCAAGAAAAAAAACATTGAAAGAGACATTGAAAGTATTCAAACAGACGCGTTGTGTTACACGCACCAGGAGATCTGCAAAGGTTTACGTTATACTCGTGGCGATAAAAACATTGGAGAGACCGAGCACACACACCTGCCTGACGTTTACATTGATGTTTAATAAACTATTGCTGTTTAATAACGTTTTAACTATCGATCTCGCCGTGTTCGCGCGCGCGCGCGCGCGAGCCGCCGGATCGATCTCCGGCGAGAGTTCGATTCGAGCGCAATGAGAGAAAACGTTTAATTGGATCGGTCGTCGATTTGATCTCGTTGATCGAATCTGAACAGTTTAACGATTCGTGCCAGACGATTAATCGGCGAAATTCGTGCTGCAGTCTTGTCTGGAGAGAAAACGCGGAGCTCCCGCGCGAATTGTCCGTAATTATTTATTATACCAACCGTCCGTACACACACACACACACACACACGTACACATCGCCGGGGTCAAGCGTTCAAACGTCAAATTTAAAATCGATCACTTCTCAGCCGAATCGTTTTTTTATGCAAAAGACAACAAAGTAATGCGCGCGCGAAACGTTATTAATGTTTGGCATTAAAAAAAAAAAAATTCTCGCGCTTTGTCACGTGGATTCGTTGTGTCATCTAATGACACGCGTAATGACACACGTCGAAATAATAGCCATAAGTACGTCATTCGAACGATATCAATAGCGAAACGATATTGTCGTTGATAACGTATGTGTGTGTGTGTGTGTGTGTGTGTGTTTGGTTTTAACTTTTCAATAAACAAGCGCATATTATGTGCGTAAAAACTATATACATACTCGCGCGCGTGCAAATGCGTGCGCGCGTTAACAGTATGAAGTGAGATTGCTTAAAGTGGATTTCCATTAGTTGTTCCCAAGTTACGACTGTTTTATAGTCGAAGATAAGAAGTTAATCTTTATTTTGTTTATAGCCGCGTGTCATGTGTGAGAGCTTTGCAACGGAACGTCTTGCGTGTGTGTGTGTGACCGTAGAAAATAACGCGTCTGGTTGAATAAAAAACGCGAGTCTCTTGCGCACACGACGAGCGTGTGTGTGTGTGTGTTCTAGCAAAAATCTTCATTACCGCGACAAATATAAAACAAAAAAAAAAAAAAAAAAAAAACGTCCGTTGCGTTATCGCGTTGACATTGAGAGATCGAACGTTGCACAAGCTTGTATAAATATTTTTTTTTCTGACTCGATAAATATCGAACAAAACGGATATACACGGAAACAATACGAAAATGATGCTCGGATATATAGCAACCGCGAGAAGTGGAGCAAGGTTTTGTCTCCGTGTTTCTTCCTCGACCTCGCGATGTCGTCGCGATGCACGTGGTGCATGCATATGTGTGTACACACGTCGTTCAATCTGTACCGTCGTCCGCAACTTTGTCCGGAAAGTGGTGCGCATTAAAAAGTGTTTGTGAACACGGCAACCGAGTAAACAGTCGGTTATTTATAGTCGACGTTGCGCGGCCGGTTAGGTGAAGCAAGTATAACGGGGAAAACCGCGAGAACTTCGTCGCCGCGCCGTATTCAAAACCTCTTTCTCTCTCTCTTTCTTTCTCTCTCTCTCTCTCTCTCTGTCACGACGGCGCGGAGGAATCATCGACGCGTTGTCGTTTTTCTTGTCGCAATTATTTCTCGAATTAGCTTGCGGATTGTGTGATTGAGCTCGTTCGCATGTAGAAATAAAATTGCCTGAGTGTACAACATACACGCCGCGCGGAAATACGAATACTTCGCGCGCGTTTATCCCGCGCGAACGGCTTCCGTTAAACTTCATTACGTTCGCGCTACCGCGCGATATGACGATAAGTATCAGGCGTTGGTTTTACAATACGTGGAAACGCGGGTGTGTGTATAAAATACAATACACGTTTCCTCGTCGGAATTATCTCCTTTGCCGTTCACCGGAGAAATTTGTGTCCCGACCTTCGGCAAACGGCGACGTGCAAAATTCCGCGATACTCGTTCGCGAAACTCGAACTCGACTTCCGCACGTGAAACAACTTGATAGAATATAATCTTCGAGTTTTTTTAACTCGAAAAAATTCCTCGACGATTTGAATGCAATAATTCTTGGTCAATTTTAGTCGATACAAAAAAAAAAAAAAAAAAAAAAAAAAAAAAAAAAAAAAAAAAAAAAATAAAAAAAATAAAAAACAAGAAAACAACTTGATGATAAATTCAAAATAAATGAGCAAATTATCTCTTCGTATGTTTCGTCACTTTTTGTAACGATTCGCCGACGAATCGCATAATGACAGTGATAATAAAATAAATTTGCGCCACAAATCTCGAAATATTACATTATTGCGAGAGAGACCAGTTTCTATACGCGGAGTTGCAAAAAAATGTTTTACAATTCCGCCAGCTTCGAGAAAAAGAAACACGATGCGAGCGAGGAAAAAGGTTTTTTTTTTTTTTTTTTTATATATTACATTACGCAAGTGAAACGTCTAAACGAAATTATCTCGCGCGAGGGAACGCGCAGTTGCGCACACACATTATCGCGATTCTCGAACGCACAAGGCAATCAAATCACAAGGACAGATTCGAACGTACGTAGGAGTGACACAAAGATACTCGATTCAATCGTCGACGATACCACGTCACACCGTAATCGTTGAATGACCGCAGAGACTTTCTTTGATGCCGCAATCGCTGCAACACGGTTTGCATCTTTCCGCAATACTCGCGTCAGCTGCGAATGCATATGTACCCGTGGTGGTGTAGCGAATTTGCGAAATTATCATCTCGAAATCATTTTCTCGGGAAAGCGCGATCGTTGTTATTATTGACGACGGTGAGACTGTAATAGCGAAAAACAAAAAACAAAAAAAACAAAATAACACAAATAATCGTCTCGCAAATTTATTTTTGTGTCAATCTTCTATTTCCACATGCGATTTTGCACGCGACGGCAATAAATTTTTTAACATGCGTCGCGCGTTATTCAGACAGACGGGCGAGAGCGGCGATGTATTTTAAGAAATATAATTCCTGCGTTTTTGTTTGTACGTTAAAAAGCGCATGGAACATAAAGGAAGAGGTTAATACTGTATGAAGCTTCAATATACACGTCCTGTTTAACGGCAATGTCCACGTCGCGCATCAAGGGACACGTTTATGCAAATTTGACTAAAGGTGTATTGTCGCTCGAAGAAGAGTAGGGAAAAAAAAAAAAAAAAAAAAAATAACATTCACGCATCGGCTGAACAAAAGCCGTTGCGAGCGACAACGGCGCAAACAGCATCGGGCAAACAACTGATACAGGCGGAATAAAGAGAAACGGTCGTTTAAAGATTTCATTGAACTGCCACGATAATGGACGCCTCGGTACGTACACAGGCCCGGTGGCGCGGCGCGCCACGCCGAGCGGGTTCGTATTATCAAAAGAAACTATTGTCGGACTGTTGTTAACAATGCGTTGTTATTAAAGCGCGTGTCCCCGCGCGACAGCTCTCGCGCGCGGACACTTCGCGCCGATTGCGCGTTCTCTCGAATGGAGAATATCGGAATCAAGACGCGTTCGGTTCGTTTTTCCGCGATTGACCTTGAGACGACCTTGCTCTCTCACACAGCTGGCGATCTCCCCGGGCCGCGCCGCGAATCAGCTGTTGTCGAAGCCCGGCGACGTCACCTGCGGCTAGCCGCGACCTCGTCTCGCGAAGGTCGCGAAAAATTTGTCGCGTTTTGGCGCGTTTCGGTGCGCTTTGTAAAGAGCGGGCAC